GTGCTGGCGCTGTGCCAGGCAGGTAGCAGGGACATTATATATGATGCCAGGTGTCCTTGCTGTGATCTGCGACAAAGGCCACAGCCCCTCCCAGCAAAGCCCCACCTCTGCAGGGGGACCCCAGCTCCTAGACACATTTTACCTCCCAGCCTCCAAGGGGACATGACTGACAGGTTGTGTATGTCCCTGCTCTTGGAATTTGGAGGAATTTGGAGAAACCATTGACTTAGGCTATCTTGAGGCACAGGGACAGATAGGGGTGACATTTTTCCTTCTGTGTGAGGAAGAAGAGGGTAGAGGTGACCAGTCCAGGGAACCACAGTGATCTAGTCACAGAGCAGTTAAGGAACTGAGAAGTTGATCTAAGGCTGTGCTGGGCTTCAGAGCTCGGGGTCTCCGAGGACTCTCTTCCATTGCAGCTGGAGTCTGGGTTACATGGTGCATTCGTTTCCTGTGGCTGCTGTAACAAACTACCACAAGCTTGGTGGCTTCAAACAACACACATTTATTCCCTTAGAGTTCCTGCGGGCAGAGTCTGAAGTCATTTTCTCTGGCTAAGTCGTGAGAGCAGAGCAGGCTCCCGCTGAAGGGTCCACGGAGAACCCAGCCCTTGCCTTTTTCGGCTTCTGGGGGCTGCCTGCATCTCCTGGCTCCTGACTCCAAACTCCTGCTGCCCTCATGGCATCTCCTACTTATTAACTGTCTTTCTTGCTGCTCTCCGTAAGAACCTTGTAATTACACCTCAGTAATCCAGAAGAATCTCCTCTATGTAAAGGTCCTTCGCTTAACCACATTAGTAAAGTCCCTTTACCCCATAAAGTAACATATTTGCCGGTTTGGGGAGTTAGGATGTGGGTCTCTGGGTGGGTCCATTATGCAGCCATTCACAGATATGGGCAGGTATCAGGGACATTATATATGATGCCAGGTGTCCTTGTGATCTGCGACAAAGGCCACAGCCCCTCCCAGCAAAGCCCCATCTCTGCAGGGGGACCCCAGCTCCTACACACATTTTACCTCCCAGCCTCCAAGGGGACATGACTGACAGGTTGTGCATGTCCCTGCTCTTGGAATTTGGAGGAATTTGGAGAAACCATTGACTTAGGCTATCTTGAGGCACGGGGACAGATAGGGGTGACATTTTTCCTTCTGTGTGAGGAAGAAGGGGGCAGAGGTGACCAGTCCAGGGAACCACAGTGATCTAGTCACAGAGCAGTTAAGGAACTGAGAAGTTGATCTAAGGCTGTGCTGGGCTTCAGAGCTCGGGGTCTCCGAGGACTCTCTTCCATTGCAGCTGGAGTCTGGGTTACATGGTGCATTCGTTTCCTGTGGCTGCTGTAACAAACTACCACAAGTTTGGTGGCTTCAAACAACACACATTTATTCCCTTAGAGTTCCTGAGGGCAGAGTCTGAAGTCATTTTCTCTGGGTAAGTCATGAGAGCAGAGCAGGCTCCCGCTGGAGGGACCACGGAGAACCCGGCCCTTGCCTTTTCCGGCTTCTGGGGGCTGCCTGCCTCTCCTGGCTCATAACTCCAAACTCCTGCTACTCTCATGGCATCTCCTACTTCTTACCTGCTTTCTTGCTGCTCTCCGTAAGAACCTTGTAATTACACCTCAGTAATCCAGAAGAATCTCCTCTAGGTAAAGGTCCTTCACTTAAACACATTAGTAAAGTCCCTTTACCACATAAAGTAACATATTTGCCAGTTTGGGGGATTAGGATGTGGGTCTCTGGGTGGGTCCATTATGCAGCCATTCACAGATAGGTAACCTAATGTGCAGGCTGTCTGTGAGCCCTCTTAGGGGCCAGGCATTGGCTAGGGCTGGGGGTGGGGAGGGGTTCAGACAGCCTGCTGAGAAGATGGAAGCAGACACTAGAGCTGGTCCTAGAGCCAGGGTGCATGGAATCGGTGCTGAGTCCGGAGCACAGGGTTCATGGGGAGAGACAGACAGATGAGACAGGAAAGGAATTTGGGCCCAGATCACAAAGGACCTTGAAAAGCAGGTTTAAAAACTTGGATGTACCCAGCCCAATGGTTAAGCATCGATCCATGAACCAGGAGATCTTGGTTCAGTCCAGTCAGGGCACATGCCTGGGTTGCAGGCTCGATCCCTAGTAGGGGGTGTGCAGGTGTGCAGTAGGCAGCCGATTGATGACTCCCTCTTATCATTGATGTTTCCATCTCTATCTCCCTCTCCCTTCCTCTCTGAAATCAATTTTAAAAAAAAAAAAACTTGGATGTGATTCCCTGAGGGAAGCAGGGCCTGGTTTCCCACATTCGGGAGTTACCAAGAATGCCCAGCCAGGCTGGAGACCCATCTGACAGGGCCGAGTGGCCACCTGCCATCAGCTTACAAGTTGAGCCTCAGCTAGACTAGGTTGGGAAAGAGGGGCCAAGGCCACCTCCAGTGCTCCCCTCCCGTGAGATGGAGAGAACAGCTTTGCTGTCTGACACATGGGGCCTGAATCCCATGGACCAGCTTCACAACCTTAGGCAAGTTACTTCCGCTCTCTGACTCAGTTTCCCACTAAGGATACGGGCACTGTTAAGACTGCCTAGCTTCTCTGCAAAGCCGATGTGCTGAGGCACACAAAAGCATCCCAGAAGTCAACAGGCTGGACTTGGTGATAGTGCCCATGCTACTGGGAACTGTCCACCGAACCAGAAAATCATGGAATTTTAGGTATTAAAAGTCATCTAACTGGAGAGTCCCACATCACATTCTTGCTGCTCTCCGTAAGAACCTTGTAATTACACCTCAGTAATCCAGAAGAATCTCCTCTAGGTAAAGGTCCTTCACTTAAACACATTAGTAAAGTCCCTTTACCACATAAAGTAACATATTTGCCAGTTTGGGGGATTAGGATGTGGGTCTCTGGGTGGGTCCATTATGCAGCCATTCACAGATAGGTAACCTAATGTGCAGGCTGTCTGTGAGCCCTCTTAGGGGCCAGGCATTGGCTAGGGCTGGGGGTGGGGAGGGGTTCAGACAGCCTGCTGAGAAGATGGAAGCAGACACTAGAGCTGGTCCTAGAGCCAGGGTGCATGGAATCGGTGCTGAGTCCGGAGCACAGGGTTCATGGGGAGAGACAGACAGATGAGACAGGAAAGGAATTTGGGCCCAGATCACAAAGGACCTTGAAAAGCAGGTTTAAAAACTTGGATGTACCCAGCCCAATGGTTAAGCATCGATCCATGAACCAGGAGATCTTGGTTCAGTCCAGTCAGGGCACATGCCTGGGTTGCAGGCTCGATTCCCAGTAGGGGGTGTGCAGTAGGCAGCCGACTGATGACTCTCTCATCATTGATGTTTCCATCTCTATCTCCTTCTCCCTTCCTCTCTGAAATCAATTTAAAAAACAAAAACAAAAAACTTGGATGTGATTCCCTGAAGGAAGCAGGGCCTGGTTTCCCACAACCAGGAGTTACCAAGAATGCCCAGCCAGGCTGGAGACCCATCTGACAGGGCCGAGTGGCCACCTGCCATCAGCTTACAAGTTGAGCCTCAGCTAGACTAGGTTGGGAAAGAGGGGCCAAGGCCACCTCCAGTGCTCCCCTCCCGTGAGATGGAGAGAACAGCTTTGCTGTCTGACACATGGGGCCTGAATCCCATGGACCAGCTTCACAACCTTAGGCAAGTTACTTCCGCTCTCTGACTCAGTTTCCCACTAAGGATACGGGCACTGTTAAGACTGCCTAGCTTCTCTGCAAAGCCGATGTGCTGAGGCACACAAAAGCATCCCAGAAGTCAACAGGCTGGACTTGGTGATAGTGCCCATGCTACTGGGAACTGTCCACCGAACCAGAAAATCATGGAATTTTAGGTATTAAAAGTCATCTAACTGGAGAGTCCCACATCACAATCAGCTGGGAGATTTTCTTAAAATAAAATCTAGTAAAGACCAGTCTAATTTCATAGCCAGGGTTGGAGGAGCCCACCCGAGATGATGCTCAGAGAAGCTGTAGGACCCCCCCCCCCTCAAGGCCTGGGTCATTCTCTCCACCACCCAGCTGAGCACTGAGGTGGATGGGATGGGGGTGGCGAGACTGCTGAGGCACCGGCTGCCACAGGGATGGAGCTAGAAAAGAGGACGGAGTGTAGGGCAGCCAGGCATGGGGTGGGCCCTTCCTGCTCATCTCCACATGGGCCAGAGGCTCCTGCATCCCACACGCTGGGCAATAGGAGGTGCCATCAGAAGCACCAGCCCTTGCTAGGTGGTCCCAGGCAAAGTGCCCATTCGGTAGGGCATGCTCAGCCAGTCCAGCCTTCTCTTCCCTGGAGCCTGGCTCTCTGGGTCACAGGTTAATTAATTATCATAACACTTTGTTCTTGATACAGAAACAAATAACTGCTAACAATTTCATTATAAACTGCGTCCTCTCCCATCCTCCACTGGATAATAGGATTTATCTAGAATTTCAGAACTGGAACAGACCTTAGAAATATGGTCCAAACCCCTCCTTTTGTAAATGGAGAGACAGGGGGCCAGAGAAGGGACAAGGTCAGCCTCACACAACCGGTCATGGAGAGGCCGGTCCAGGGCTGGTCCTCACAGTGGTGCTCCTCGTGTTCCACAGCCAAGAGTACTGCACGATTCTAAAATCACTCCAGTGGTGGCATCCAGGGTCAAGAACTTGGGGGACATACACTGGACCAGATAGTCCCCTTGATACCCCAAATACGACCTTAAAGGTAGAGCTATCTGTATGCAGCTGAGGCCCCACCTGCAGGCCGTCCACCTGGCACACTAAAGCCATGGGTTTGAGGACCCCAGACTGTTGAGGGGACGTAGACAAACCTCGGCCACTCTACTCCCCATCACTAGGAAATGAGATCCCCAGGGGGTTGTGGGCTGTTAGGGCTTTGACTTCCTCTCAGCCTCCTGGGGCTGCCCCTGGGTGTGGCCAGATTGAGACGCCGGTGTCTCAGGCCACTGGGATCTGAGCAGCCAAGCCACCCACACTGACCAGGCCTGTGTCTCTGTGTGCTCTCCAGGGACATCCCCGGGCTCCAAGATGGCCTTGCAGAGTTCCTTCACTTGCTGGAATGGGACAGTCCTCCAGCTTGGCCAGGCCTGCGACTTCCACCGGGACTGCGCCCAGGGAGAAGACGAGGACCAGCTCTGCAGTGAGTAGATGAGCTGCCCTACCCACCTCACCCCAGCCACGCTCACCTCCCTCTCCTGCCCCATCACCCCATGCATTCCAACGTGGACAGCCTTCCTATGTCCAGTGCCATTTGCGTCTCGTCTCAGTGGCAACTTTAAAAAGCTACACAGTCTTCAAGAGACAGAGCTAAGATCTGTGGAGTGATAACAATGTGGTCCAGAAACAGCATGAAAGTTAAGAACCAAACAAGATCTTATAAGTTATGCCCTCAATATCCTCGTGCACAGAGGGCATGTTCGGACGAATGCCCAGCTCTGTAACATGACTTTGGAAGCCCGGACTTCCCTCACTTTTCAATCCTCATCTTTCATCACCCACCACCTCTCTCATCCTCCCAGGCTCCCGTGTACCCCAGGTCCGGCCATATCAGACTGCTTCTCAGCTCCCTCAAACCTCCGTGGCTTTGTGTGTGGTATCCCTTGCCCAGAATGCCCTGTCCCTTCTCAAGTCCCATCTGCTCCTTCAAGACACCCCTCAGGAGTTGGTTCTTCTGGGAAACCTCCTCTGACCACCCCCACAGGACAGTTGGTTCTTCTTTCTCTGGACCTCCTGTCCCAACTCGGTGTATCTTCCACCCACCATAGCGTCCATTCTTTTTTAACAGCCTTTTTTTTAGATATAGTTCATATACCATACAACCCGCTCTCTTGAAGTATGCAAGCCAGTGCTTTTTAGCATAGTCACAGTTGTGCAACCATCACTACTAGTTTTAGAACATTTTTTATCACTCCACAAAGAAACCCCTAGAAATCTTTCCCTACTTTCCTCCAACTGTGCCCCCTCCACTAACCATAAGCAACCATAATCTACCTTCTGTTTCTCTAGATTTGCCTGTTCTGGGCACTTCATGCAAATAGAACCATACAATATGTGGTCTTTTGTGATTAATTTCTTCACTTAGCATAATGTTTCCAAGGGTAACCCATGTTTCAGTGTGTATCAGTCTTTTGTGTATCTTTATTGCCAAATAATATTTCATTGTTCAGATAACCACATTTTGTTTAGCCTTTCTTCAGTTGACGGGCACTTGGGTTGCTTCCACTTTGGGGCTATTATGAATAATGTTGCTGTGGACATTTATGTACAGGTTTTTGTGTAGACAGATGTTTTTATTTCTCTTGGGTATATGCCTAGGAATAGAATTGCTGGGTCATATGATAACTCTATATTTAACAGTTCGAGGAACTGCCAAGCTGTTTTCAAAGTGCTGCACCATCTTACATTCCCACCAGTAATGTATAACAGTTCTAATGTCTCCACATCCTTGCCAACTTTTATTATTATCTGCCTTTCTGTTTTAGCCATTTTAGTGGGTGCATATCCATTACATTTCATGAGGGTGGTTTCCATGTTTCTCTCCCTCTCTGTGGGCAGATGGGGTTTGGTACTCTTCCCTGTACCAATATTTCAAGTGATTCCTGGCACAACTGACACTTTGTTCATTAAAATGAATAAATGAGTTGGAAAACTTGGGCTCCATAGAGGAAAACAAGTTGCTGAGGTCTCATTGGTAGTTAGTAGCAGCATTAGACTCCCAGCCCAGTGCTCACTCCACTTCAATACAGTGTCCTCAGTAGCTATTTGGCTAGGAGTAAACACTAGAGGTTTTTACATTTTCCCCAGGGAAACCGAAAACACAGTACACATATAATACGAGCTAGAAAATATGTTAGGTCCTGGAGCAGAGATGAAAACACAGCACCTGCCCTCAATGCTGAAACTCCAACATGGGGCAGGAGGGGAAACAACAGAACAGGCTGGAGAAGCAGGCAGCAGGTGCATGCCTGGGTGCTGTGGGGCCCAGACACAGCAGCCAATGCTCACCTCCTAGATACCAGCCCCGTGACACTGGCCTGCAAAATAGCTTTAAAAAGTTAAGTGTTTCCCAGGTCATCTGGAGGACAGACTTTCCCTTGGGGGAAAAAATGGTTTTGTTTATTCTCTTATAAATGAAGCAATAAAGAAATCCATTTTTCAACTTAAAAACTACCTTTTATGCAAAACTTTTGAGGGAAGTTTTCCAATAATGGCGGAATTGTGGTTGTTCAGATCAACTCAGTAAGGAGTTGCAGGTAGGCGCCTTGTCTGCCCACACTGTCTGGCTCCTGGCCTGTCTCGCAGACTTTCACTCTGCATGTGGCCCGAATGAACCTAGCCACCAAGCTGCCCAGGTTGAGGCCTCTGTGTGTCTCTAGTTATTGGTCTCTGCAGTATTTCCAGCAGTGCCTCTGAGCTGTGTGATTTGGCTTTTGCCTTTTTTTTTTTTAAGTTTCTTGATGACCACTTCCCAGCAGGGACACAGGTCAGGCAGGGCATGCCCTGATTTACAATTGGGAAAATGAAACCACAGAGAAGGTAATTGATTTGTTCGGGTCACACAGCACGTCAGGAACAGAGCCATGATTAGAACATTGAGCCTGCGGGATCTGGCCATTACTGCGAGCTCAGGGCATTTTCCCACCATTCAGGGACTTGCCATTAACAAGTTTCCAGGACCAACTCCAAGCTGGAGGGCAGCCTAGCTGCGGGCCGAGGGCAGGCACCTGGGGCCCTGTGGCCTTTTCAGCCACACTTGAGCAGCTGCTCTGACCAGCTGTCGGAATGACAGCTCCACACTGGAGAGTACCCCCACCAAGGTCTTTGCTCCAGAAATCGGTTGCTAGGAAGAGAAGTTCAATTCAGAAGGAGAGTTATTTCGATCTTTTTGCCACTCTGATCTTTACAGTACTACTAGCCAATATCCTTCTCCTTGTTTGTGTGCCCCATTCTCTGTGGGATATTTGCTGTCTTCCCTATCACATTGACTGGTGTTGATTCTGGAAACCATCCCCGTGAAGATAGCAACAGTAGTAATAATATTGGCTAACATTTATTGAGCATTTACTATGTACTGGGAGCTGCTCCAAAACTTTGCATGTATTAACTTATTTCACCCTGACAGCAATCCTATGTGATGCCATTACACCCATCTTAGAGATGAGGAACCTGAAGTCCATGGTCAAACTGTTAGCCAGTGGCTGAGCAGTGATTCAGACTCAGTCTGACTTCAAAGCCCACACTCTGAACCACTACAAGCCAGACTCTTTTTCTGTGAGTTTCTAGCAGCTGGTTCTGCCGAGCACAACCCTAGCTATATTTCCACTCAGGAAGAAAGAACCAGGAAAAGGTTAGGGAGTGAGGTGGGGGTAAGATCACTCATCCCCACCTCTGGGCCTCAATTTCCTCATCTGTAATGTGAGTTGGAACATGATGCCCACTGATGTGGTATGTGTTGATGTCCAATGCTCTTGACCTCACCTGGTCCTTCCCAGGTAGTCTGGAACCTATTAGAATATTTTCTCTGAGCAGGAGCTCACCTGTTGGGGATGTCCAAATCTTCTAAGGAACCCCCACAAGGGTCGCCAATCTTGGTCCAGGGTAGTCAACCAAGCTTGGCCATGGTTGGAATTTGAAGGGAAAAGTAGACTGTATCCCATCAATTCAGCCTCACTCCACTCTCTCCCCAGAAGGAATTCCCCACACCTACTGGGGTTTCACTCAATTCTCAGACTCAACCCCAAGCAATATCTCTGCCTGAGTTAAGTAGGGACCTGAAATGGAGGTGGCAGCATTGCCCTTGCCCTTCTCCATCTAATCACCAACCTGTGCATCCACACCTGGTCCTCCAAACCCATCCTTCTTCCCTCATTCCAATTAAATGTTACTGATTCAAGTGAGACATCCAGGACACTATCACCCATCGAAGAGAGTCTTCAAGGGCCCCTGGGTGTCGAGCAGTGGCCCTCATGGCATGTGCCTCCCCAGAAAAGGATAAGGTGTTCTCGCTTCATCCCCTGGATGGGTCATTGACTCACCAGGTATTTGCAAGCAGCTCACTTCCCCTCCATGTACTTAATAATCTCATCTATTTAGTGGGGATACTTTTCCTGTCAGGCAAAACAGGTTTTTTTATGTTTCTTTATTGTAAAATAAAACATGTTGGTTGTAAAATATTTGAAAAATCTAGAGAAGTACACAGAAGAAAATTACTATCACCCATAATCCTCCCTCTCAGGCGTTCAGAGATAACCATAATATTTTGATGTATTTCTTCTAACATTTTCCCCCATGACTCTATATTTTCAAGAAAATGTATAACACATATTTATCAAAAATGTTAACCGAGTTGTCACACAGGAAGGAAAAGAAGTGGTGTCATTTGGCCTGGAGTTTGTACTTGGCAGTTTCCTGCAGCTGTTGCTGAGGTCACATCTCTGTGACTCCACAAATCTGTCTCTCTTAGAGTGGAATCAGGTGTCATAATTGCCAATGTTGTGGGATTGATTGACCCACACACAGCCCGACTTGCCATCCGGCCAATGAAATATCTGGCTGCAGCCCAAGGAGCGGGTGGGGTAGAGCAGTGCTGCTCAGACGTTAGGAATGTTAAAAATACAGATTCCAATTCTGGGTATGGGGTTGGTGTGGGGGACCTGAGAGTCCACACTTCTCACACTTTCACAGGTGATGCGGGTGCGGCTGGTCCCTGGACCACATTTTGAGTGACAGGGTGTAGAGGACTGAACTCACTCCCATTTCATCAGCAGCTAAGTATGGCGATCCTACAGTGTGCCAAGCCCTGCTCGGGTGCCTGGGGTGGAAGAGAGGAGGGGATGATCAGAGGAGGAGTTGACATTAGACCAAACCTGTGTGCCAACGTTGTGCTCAGCAATTGGCCTTAGTGGCAATTTCCCAAACCCGGCCTAACCCACCAAGGGCCTCTGCTCTGATGCCCACGCCCACCAGCTTCCTTAGGAGTGGCTTTTTGCTGAACACACAGCCCCATGTGCTTGCAGTAGTGGACACCCTCTCATCGCCTCCCCACCCACTCTTCGAGGTCTTAGTTATCACATAAATTGTCCAGTGACCGATTTTGCCTACCTCATGGAAAGAAAGGGGCTTCCAGTCCCAGCTCACCCTGGATCCTGTGCCAAGCTGGAACAAGGTGGGCTAGGAGGTGGAGAACCGCTGGCGCAGGTGGAAGGCACAGGCGTCTCCAGAGAGGCAGCTGAGGGACTGTCTCTGCCTCCGGGTAGCTGGGCTGTTGTAGCGCACCCCCTGGCGAGCTCCCCTGCCCGGGGGAGAAGGATGATGAATAATGCCACCACTTCTGTGTATTTGCTCAACCCTGTCTGTTTATAAAATGTTTCCACACTCACTCTTTCATTTTGTCCTCAAAACAGCCCTATGACATAGACACTGCTATCACCCCATTTCACAGAGGAGGGAGCTGGAGCTGAGGAAGGAAGTGCTTGCCTGAGGTCGCGCAGTAGGCAACAGAGAGGCTAGGCTAGAGTGCAGGTGTCCCACTCCAGGGCTGTTGAGGTATCAGCACCCAAGAATCAAGATCTCCCCCTCCCCTCCTGAAAGGGGGAGGAGAGGGTGATGTGCCCTGCAGGCCCCAGCTCAGCCCTGCCTCCTCCTCCTAACCGGAGCCCATCACCTGCTAGCATCCTCCATTGTAGTGCCCGGTCAAACACGCTTGTAAAGGACGCTCCCCGGAAGGTCACCAGTTAGTTTTTGCAAAAGAAGTGGCTGTGGGATCCCTTGAGGGGGGCATAAAAAATAAAACAGAAAGGTCTCCTTAGCTGTTGGATTTTTAATCAGAGGAACATGCAGGGCTTGGGGAAACGACTTCTTCAGGGGGGTATAAATGGGAAGAGATGTCCAAGTCGTGCCAGCCTGTTTTAATTTATAATGCTGCCTCCGTGTGAAATGCACAGAGAATCAGGGGAAATGAGCGATAATTCACGAAGGTGCTGTCACAGCCAGGTGCGTCAGGGCCTCTGTGTTAGCCTGCCACTGCCAGGAAGGCGAGACAGAGGAAGGACAGCGCCGTGGGTCCGGTCTCTCTTGCACAGGACATAGCCGGGCCAGGGACTGCTGGGCGCTGTCACCACAGCCTGCAATGCCCACTCGGGGCTGAGCGCCTTCCCTGCAGCAGTTCTCCCAGTCAGCTGTAGAGCATAAGCTCTCTCTAACCCTCTTCCCCTGCCCTCCTCCCTCTGTGGGCAGCGGCGAAATAAATATATGGTCTATGAAGCTGACTGTGGCCTCTTCAGCCCCTGCCCTCCTCCCTCTGTGGGCAGCAGTGAAATATATGGTCTATGAAGCTGACTGTGGCCTCTTCAGTGGGACCTGAGGTCAGTCTGATGCAGAGAAAAAGATAATGGGGCTATTTATGCTGAGCCAACAGATGCTGTAAAGAGGCTCCAGTAACTGGGATTGCTTGGTCAGGATAGGCGAGGTTCTGCTGCAGTAATAAACCATCCCGCATTTCAGGGGCTTAACTTGACACAGGCCCTATCCACTGAGGGTTGGGAGAGGGGCTCTGCTCCGCAGGGTCTCTCTGGGACGCAGGCTGGCAGGGGCTCCACATCATACAGCAGCATCCCCAGGAACAGGAAGTCTCCTTGGCCCCTCAGCAGGGGAAAGGAGCCTGAAGAATTGCACAGAGCTTTCTGCAGCCTCCATCCAGAAGAGACACACATCCCTTCCGTTCACATTTCATTGGCCAGAACTGCTCAGGTGGCTTCACTTCACTGCAAAGGGGTTGGGAAATGGGAGCAAAAAGGAAGTTCTGAGCAGTGTGTCTCTGCACACAGAGGTGATTTGAGGGACCCAAACCAATTCCAGGCCAACACTGCCACTGCTGCTGTTAGGTTCTTGCCACTGGACTGAGCTTTAGGAGTGTAGTCCAGTGAGCACACGTGGGCTTCTCCCTGGGTCACGTTCTTTGTGGGTCCGTGTAAATTTAGAAATAGAAGAGCTAGGTTCAAGCTGATTACCTGCTGGCTAGGTGACCTTGGTCAGGTTGCTTAACATCTGTGAGCCTCTGCTTTGTCATATCTAAAACTGGGTTAACAATACCCATTGCTGTGGAGTTGTTATTATTACCAGTTTTTTCTGAAGATTAGAAAATCGTAAGTTGGGGATTAGGGCCTCTCTTCATCATGATCAGTATCGTTAGCCATCGAGGGAGCTGTTATTAGTGAGGACAATGTACCAGCACCTGTACAAGTTGGGGATTGGGGCCTGTCTTCATCATAATCAGTATCATTAGCCATCGAGGGAGCTGTTATTAGTGAGGACAATGTGGTCACCCTGGCTAATTATTCTTGACTTTTGCATCATTTCCATTCAGCCTTCCAGGAAATGACTGTCCCTGTGCTCCTCCCATAGGTAAGCTCCCTGCTGGTTTCTACTGCAGTTTCGAGGATGGCTTCTGTGGCTGGTCCCAAGGAACACTCTCACCCCATGCGCCCCAGTGGCAGGTCAAGACCCTAAAGGAGGCCCGGTTCCAGGACCGCCAAGGTACTGCCACTCCTCTCCTTCCCCCTGGTGCCCACCCAGCCAGATGAGAGACTTAGGGCACCGCCCAGGGCAGCTGGACCTTGCCCCACACTGCCGGGCAAGCCTGGGTGGGTGGCTGTCCTGAGCTTGCCCTGGGGTGCTCCACACAGTGTCCTCTAAACACTTCCCTGGGCTTTAGAATGACTAAATCAGGCCCAGGTAGATGCCACCTTTTGTTCCTTAAAATGGGAACCTTGGTGAAGGGTTAGCTGAAATATAAAAATAGCAGCAACAGTAATAATAATCCATTCGACAAGTATTTTTTGAGACCTACTGTGTGGCAGGCCCATTACTCATTGAGAGGTAAGGAAAAGTGTAGCCCTCTTTATGACTGTATATTCTACTCATCGATCACGGTCTCTGTCCCCCACAGAACGAAACCACAGCCTTTCCCACACAGGCAGCCCTTCAGATATTGAAAGACAACTGGTGCGGCCCACACACCGAATGAGGGCCTTCCTCTCCCCGGTCACATAAGCCCATCAACTCGATCCTTCCTCACGGGTGGGCAGCATGCTTTTGAGGATTTCTGGCCCATCCTGGTTACTCTATTCTGGACCCACCTGAATTGTAACTTGGTAGTAACTCATTAATGAACTTCGTTAAGAGACAGAGAAAAGTAGAAATGAATGACTAAAGTCCTGCCTGGAGTTCTGTGGGGTGCCTAAAAAGTTGTGGGCTCACGCTGGCACCTGTCTCCATAGCACTGACCACCTACAAAGTGCCCTGCAGTCCTGGTGGTTTACTGACGCTTCTCCCACCGGCATGTGGGGCTGGAGCTCCTATTCTTCCAGGTTCTCAGGCAGATTAGTGTTTAGGAACAAGAAATGAATCTTGGTCAGGCATGTGACACTGGGTGGCCTGGACTCCAGGAGGGGAAGAAGAGAATGAAGGTAATAGAGACCATTGCTGGGCAAAGCATGGGCATGACTGGAAATGGGGAGCGATGGGGCTGGGGGCAGGTGGTCCAGGGCACTTCAAGCTGCTCCTGGCCTTTGGGCTAAAGCTGGTGACCCTAAGAGATCAGGGATGCAGAAGCTCAGCTATATGATGCTAGGACATCACTGGCCCTTTGGAATGAAGACCTTTGCAAGCCAAGTTCTGTGACAGTGACAAGCAGGCTGTCTTATCCATTGGAGGCAGCAGAAAGCCAAAGAGGCTAGAGGAGATGTTCCCATGAACCCTGCACTTATTAACCCTGCACCCCCGGGCCCTTCAGTGCGTGATGATGGTGCAGCTTTGACTCTTTTCCTCTCTGCCCAGGCCACGCCCTGTTGCTCAACACCACTGAGGTCCCCACTTCTGCGAGTGCTACCGTGACCAGCTCCACGTTTCCCGCACCGATGAAGAACTCTCCATGCGAGGCAAGTCTCGATGTTCCCCTATTCTCTGACTTCTCCTCCTACTCTCCCCTCTGCACTTCCAGATGAACCCAAACAGTGAGCCAAGTGGCCTGAGGTCAGGCTGCTTGTTCTCCTGGAGGGAGGGCAATAGGGCCACTTGCGCCATCTTCCAGGCAGACAGAGCCCACCAACGTGGTAAAGTCCCATCTGCAGAGAACCTCACCTTAAACACCATCCTCAGCAGCACTGAGCTTTCGCAGTGGGATCTTGATTTAAGCAAACCCAGAAAACACTTCCAAGGCATCACAGGGAAGGGTAGCAGTGATTTACAAAAGACTTTCTACAGAATCCTTTTTAAAAATAGCAATCTCTTGTTATCCATGTCAAATGTTATAGAGCATCAGAAATTTGATTTACATAGATTTCACTAAGACAGCAATGGCATTCAGTGCGGTACCTCGAGAGTCACTTACCCAGACGGTTCTTCTAGCTGTTACCTCTCAGGGTGAGGATGGGGGGAGTGGTGCCATGTTTCTTAGCATAAGGTCATATTCTCTAAGGCCCAAGACATGTGCTTAGAACACGGTCCCAGTCAAGTTCCACCCCTGATTGGTTGTACTATTTATGGGGGCAGTTAATAACCTCTCAGGGCCTCAGTTTCTTCATCTGGAAGGTGGAGACAATAAGAGTGCCTACCCCAAGGAGGTGAGAATTAAATAGTTAATGTGTGCAAAGGGCTAGCATAGCATCTGGCACAAATTAAGCATGACAAGAGTTAGCCAACAGTGCCCGACACCCTGTATAAACACACGACAGAAGGTTGGGGGAGGAGAAAGGGGACTCAAGCCAAAAATCAGACTCTCAGCTCCGGGCTCTGGGAAGGTGGGGCCCTGACTGCGCTTCTTTGCTCCCCCCCCACCCCCCCTTAAAATACCTTGCACACAGTGGAAAGTCTATGGTGGATCCTCTCTTTCTGGAAACTTATAGGAGAAGTTCCTTGCTGGCTTGTTTCAGGAATAGCTAGTTGCCCGCTGACTAATTTGTTTCCCTTCAAGCTGTGGACTTTGTGAAACTGAGAGCTTCGCTTCCTCCCTGCTGGCTGGTAGAACCCCAGGGAGCTGCCGCTCTGACCCGCAGCTTCCCTGCCATGGGGTGCAGGCAAATGCAAGCCTTCCAGGCTTTTTGTGAACTAAAACTTCACAGACATAAATCAAATGAGAATGGAAAAGACATACGAATGAACTTTTTTAATCAGAAGAAAGGGCAAATTAAATCTGAGGCTCCCCTCTTGGTGAACAAACAGGGTTCCCTGATGTGTTGTTTGCAGCAGCCTCACCCTTGGTCCCAGTTTATAACAACATCTGCCCCATCTTTCTCACCCTCTTCTAGTTTATGGTATCTGACTAGATTTTCTACGTATCTATGTGAGCTATCTTAAATCCTTTTTGGAAGAAGTCAGGGCACAAATAAATAGATTCATTACATTCAATTGTATTTGGGAAGCCACGCTTTCTGATGTAGATGGTGGAATTACACAGTCATCATCATCGCTGATATTTCTCAGGTGCCTCAGAGCAGGCGCCTGGAAAGGAAGGCTTCTTAGGAGGAAATCTAAATTCGGAGAGACAGTGGCCCACCTGGGAGGTGAGGGGATCCTTAAAAGCATTTGATCTTTAAATTTACTCTTCTCTGGATTTAATAGAGCCTGATTTTAGAAAAAGAAATGTCGAGGTGAAAATTATATTTTCTTAACACTTCATCATTTCTCTAATAACCTTTGGGTTAATCAATAGCTTAAATGCGTGTTTTTGTTTTACTGGCCTGTTTTATTTTTCCTCCGGCCACATTTGCTCGGGGCTGTTTCTGCTGTTTCCAGCCCTGTTCCAGCAGGTGGCTCAGCAGGAGTAATGAGGGGAGGCAGCGAGCCGTCCCTCAGCTCACAGTCGTTTCCCATTCAGGCTCTCAGACATTCATCCAGGACTGACGGGTCTTTGAGTCCCCAGTGCTGGGGAAGTGTTTTCATCAGAAAAATAAATAACCAAAATAGAAATATGCATTTCCAGGGTTGTAAGCCTTGCCATTTATTTTATCCAAATCCTAAATGCAGAGGCAGGAACTTGATGTTCTTCTCCTGGGTCTGCTGAACGTTAGTTACAGGAAACGGATGTTGCCTTGCTGTGTGAGACTGTGTGAGCTTAACCCTGCCGACCTACAGGGGCCTCTGTTGGCTGTGGGGCCCGAGTGCAGGAGGGTGGGTGCCAGAGAGAGCCATGAATTGTTTCCAATGAGAGTCAGGTCCAAGGGGCTGGCAGCTAGCCAAGATGGGCTCTAGGGCTGATATCCACCACCAAGCATCTTCTCCAAGCCCAGAGCAGGCAGGTCCGTGGGACCTCCAGGGAGTTGAAGTACTTGCAGAATATCACAAAGTGCTTTCTCAAGAAACCCCACAATCCTCAGTAGATTCCATAGGGGAACCAGTGTCACCTTCAATGCATTTCCATGAAAATCTAAATACGTGTTTCTCCAGTTGGGATTCCATAGGGGAACCAGTGTCACCAATACATTTCCATGAAAATCTAAATACGTGTTTCTCCAGTTGCAGTCACTTGTAACATGTAGTAAATGCAGATTCTTGGACGCCACCCTGGGCTCCCTGGACGGCATCACTGAGCAGAGCCAGACTCTGCATTTTCAAGCCCCACCTCCATGATGTGGATGCAAACTGAAACTTGAGAGTACTTGGCCAAAGTGTTCTTGCCAATCGTGACTGAAATTTATTCTGAGCCCATGCTGAGAGTTTTCCTCCAGTGCCTGTGGCTCCAGATTGTGCCATGTAATTTGCCTTTCAGAAGGATCAGTGAGAGAAGGAATTAGAAATGACAAGGTAGGGGACAGAGCCGGTGAGACAGAGGCTCTGGGAGAGCACCCATCAGAGCCCACAGGGAGCCAGGTCAGGTGCCCACCGATGATGGAGACATAGCCAGGGTGTGCCTTGCTGGGAGAGCACCCATCAGGGAGCCAGGTCAGATGCCCACCGATGATGGAGACATAGCCAGGGTGTGCCTTTGTGGTACCAGCCACCTTCCAGGGCATTCCCGAAGCATGCCAGCTCTGGGCTCCTCCAGGCGCCTCCAGCCGCTGCCTCTCGCTGTGCTGGCTGTGGTGCAGGCCCTGCCTCCTCCACCACTCTGCACAGTTGCATACGGGGCATGAATATTTAAAGGCCTCTGCCTGGCCCAGCCACAAATGAGAGCTTTGTGGGGTTCTTGTCCCCCCGATTCCCCAACAGCTATTCTCTGTGGGAAACTGGGGAGTCACTTACAATATATTCAGATTTTCTTTTCTTTTTCTTTTTATTTTGCTGAACTCCAGTTCAAATAATTAAAGTTGCCACCGGGGAGGGGAGCCTTGCAGTGGCTGTTATGTGTCGCTTGCTGTCAGACCTGCTTGCGTCCCCTTGGCTGGAAGACACACTCGGATGTGTCTAGCATCGCAGCTGCCAGGAATAAAGAGGCCGAGAGAGTGGCAGGGCCGTCTCGCCCCGCCCCCTGCCTTTCACACATCCTGGAAGCCTGAATGTCTCAACAAGCCCCGTGTGGCTTGAGATTCTATTGTATTTGAATAGCCTGCCTGTGACTGGAATATTTTAAACCATGTTCTCAGGACAGAACAAGGTCTGGGGTGGGAGGGGGAATTGGGTTTCCCTCATTCTTTTTCCCCAAAAAACATGGAGCAGTTTTCCTCCTATGAGCTGCAGGAATGGAAGGACCCAGGAAGTATGGGATGAGGCCCACTCGACTGGGGGAGACCCTAGGGCAGGGCAGTTCCCAGCTGCTGGTTGTCTGACCCTCCCAGAGTGGCAGCCACCCTGTCCTCTCTTTACACGCATGGGTATACACATAGACCACACACACACACACACACACACACACACACGGGATCCTGGGACATGGCCGGGCCTCCTTTCTGCCCCTGACGTCAGCCCTATGGTGGTAGAAGGGGTAGCTTTAATTAGCCACTCAGGGCAGGAGGTGACCAGCGGGCTCCTCCATGGCGGCATGAACTACCTGGCCTGCCGGGAAGGAGGCCTCCCCTCATGTCACTAAAGCCAGCAGATGTGGCCCAGAGGGATGTGGGAGAGGAGGCTGGCACCTGGACTGCCCTCTGGCATCCGTACACGCTGCTTGCAGCCTCACAGAGGAGCCCCTGTGGGAGGAGCCTGCCTGCGACTGTGCACAGCTGGCCAGCAGGGCAGCCACGCATCCTTAGGACACAAGAGCATCTCCCCTTTCCCAGGGAATCCCCTACCAATGGGGCAGCAGCAGTAAATGAGGGGACAAGAGAGAATGGAGAGGAAGACTAGACGGAAGTCACCAAGGCAGGGAGGGAGCCTGGGAAGTAACCAGAGCAGGTCATGTGCCCCTAGTTTCAGAAGCCCAGATGGGGAGCTCCTGCACCAGTACCTCTCTCTGTGTGACCTCATGCCCCCCACCCCCCTAATTAAGCCCACAGAGAGCATGTTTGGCTGCCCCACCCCCACCCCATGAGTCCCTGAGCTGATGCTGGTATGAGACTCCAGGCCTTAACTCTGGCAGCCACTCACCCCAGTGATGGGACGGTCATCTCAGAGAGCCTTGGGCTGGGGCCTAAAAATATGCCTCCACATCGGAAGGAAGGAGCAGTGCTTCCTGAGGCATTTCCTAAATGGCTTTTCTGAAACCCCACTGGATGAGTAGGAGACTTGGGACCCCACTTTCAGAAGCTAACGACAGCCATCTCATGCACCTGTAATAACATCACTGCTGCAAGAATGCCCTAGGCACACATCAAAGACTGCAGAATTGAAATCCTCCCTGAGGACCCGGCGATGCCCGAGCATGCAGAACCCGGACTCAAACCTGAGCCCCACACTTCCAAGGTGCCTGCTCAGAGGCTTTCTCTGAGGAGTTAGCAGCCTCAGACGAAAAGGGTGGGCAGCTGCCGGCCTGGACTAGAGAGGCAGCACAGAGGAGATCTCTTTA